TTAGAATATATTTTATTGATTTCAGAGAGAAAGGGAGAGAGAGATGGAAACATCAGTGATGAGAGAGAATCATTAATGGGCTGCCTCCTGCACGGCCCCTGCTGGAGATCGAGCCAGCAACCAGACATGTGCCCTGACCAGGACGAACCATGACCTCCTGATTCCTAGGTCGATGCTCAACCACTGAGCCTCGCCAGCTGGGCAAGTTACGAAATTTTTATTAAAACGTTTCTTACATACCATTATATTGGCTGGGCTGCAGAAATATTCCTTGTGATCCAAGAGTTTGACATGCTTGTCCTAGGGGATCGAGTCCACAACCTGGGCATGTGTCCTGACCAGCATTTGAACCTGTGACCTCTTAGTTCATGGGTCAGTACTCAACCACTGTTGAAAAAGGGTTAAACATGGGATTTTGGGGCTTTTTAAATATATTTTTATCAATTTCAGAGAGGGAGAGGGAGGAGAAAGAAATAGAAACATCAATCCGTTGATGCTCAAGGTTATGCTCAACCACTGAGCCAGGCAATAATTGGTTTTGATAATCGTTTAAAAACATGTATTTGACAGTTGGTGTTGAGGGTTGCAGAATCTGCTATGACAAAATATCACTGTAGGAGTTTAGGATATGCCTCCACAAAATATGCCACTTTGTATATTAATTATTTTGAACCCTTGGCACTTGAAAAGCAAGAACTGGAGGAAGAGGCTTTCTCAGAACTTTCATATCTGCCTATAGACAGATCCTCCAATAAGAATTCAATTGTCTTTGATCCCTCCCAGGGAGTTTCATCAACGAGGAAGATTAACTCTTGTCACAGCAGAGGTGACTAGACGTTGACCCACACCCAGACAAACTTCTTCACAAACTCCCATACCTCCATCTGTTTTTGTAGAGCCCAATAAATTGGTTGCCATTCATCTTTCCTAAAAATTATTTACTGTCCTTAAAAAAACCCACATATTTCCCCCCTTCCCTTTCCCTATTAAGATGGTATTTAACCCTGAACTCTAAGCCACCTCAGAGAGTTTTTAAATATATTTTTATCAATTTCAGAGAGGGAGAGAGAGAAACATCAACGATGAGAGAAAGTCATTGATTGGCTGCCCCCTACAGGGGATTGAGCCGACAATTCGGACATGTGCCCTTGACCAGAATCGGACCCGGGACTTGTCAGTCCCCAGGCTGAAGCTCTATCCACTGAGCCAAACTGATTACTGTTAAACATAATGGTTTTAAGTAATCCTAATATCTCTTAAGTATTTCTTTGTTTCTTTATTTAATTATGCCCTGTCCTGAGTTAACATTCTTATCCTATACTAGAGGCCTGTTGCACGAAGAGATTCATGCAGTAGGCTTTCCCTTCTCCTGGCTGCCGGCACCGGTTTTCCTCTGGCACCCGGGACCCAGGCCTTTGCTCCGGCTGGAGCCACCTTCAGTCTTCTTCGCTGGTCTGGCCTGAGCCGCCTTCAGTCTTCACTCCGCCGCTTCACACCTATGTATGCAAATTAGCCGCCATCTTTGTTGGCGATTAATTTGCATATCACCTTGATTAGCCATTGGTAGGCGTAGTGAAGGTACGGTCAGTTACCATGTTTGTCTATTATTAGCTAGGATAATAAAACCCTAATATGCAAATAGACCGAATGGTGGAACGACTGGTTGCTATGATGTGCACTGACCACCAGGGGGCAGATGCTCAACGCAGGAGCTGTCCCCTTGGTGGTCAATATGCTCCCACAGGAGGAGTGCTGGTCAGCCAGAAGCTGGGCTCACAGCTGGCAAGCGCAGCAGCAGTGGCAGGAGCCTCTCTTGTCTCTGTGGCCGTCGGACATCCACTGAGGGCACAGGCCGGGCTGAGGGACCCCTCCCCACCCACCACCCACCCCCCCACATGAATTTTGTGCACCGGGCCTCTAGTGTTTCAATAAAATGGAGAAAGGTTTGCCTCTTCCCAGTTGATTTGGACAGGGGAAACCTTTGGGGGTTAATGAATTGCATCTCTAAATTTAATGGACTTAGGTTAGTTTGGAAAATAGATCAAGAAAATGATTTGATTATCAGCACCATGCTTTTTCTTGTTTGTTTTAAAGTTAAATTATAGTTTACATTCAGTATTATTTTGTATTAGTTTCAGGTATAACCACAGTTTTGTCTTATCTTGATTCTAAAGACCTGTTGTAGATAGATAGCTGGATCTACAGTTTCATAAATTTCTCTTCTGAAGGTAAATTTTGGTAGATAATTTTTGGTGATACTAACTAGCTCCTAACTAGCCTTATCTGCTGGGCTATTTGAGCTAATGTCAAAGGATAAATTCTCCATCCCCACTAGAGACAGTTTCTAAGCAGTAACACAGTTTTTTCTATTGTTGAGAGTATTACAGATGTCCTCCACTCAGCCCTTGCACACACACACACACACACACACACACAGGCCTTCACCACACTATTGTCTGTGTCCATGGGCTATAAGTTCTTTGGTTTATCTCTTCCCACCCCCCACGCCCCAATATATCAGTTTGTTCCATGCCTTCATGCCTCTGGACTTATTTTGTTGGTCAATTTATTCTGTTCATTAGATTCCACAAATAAGTGACATCATGCAATATTTGTCTTTCTTTGACTGGCTTATTTCACTTAGCATAATAATCTCTGGGTCCATCCATGTTGTCTCAAAGGGCTCTATATATTTTATTCCATGATTTCTCATGGTATGATTTTCCCACAAGACATTTTGCTAATGTTAACTACAATGTGTTGAATGTTTGTTATGTGACAGATATCACACTAAGCACCTTATATTTATTTCATTTCTTTTTCATGATAACTTTGAGATTAATAATATGAGAAGTCACTTGCTCACTGTTAAAAGCTAATCAAATCGTGGTGCAGGAACTCATATTTACTTCAGAACCTGTTCTTAACCCTGTATTCTAGTAATATCTAGTTTTAGCTCTACCAATATTATGAAATTCTCAAAACATTTTAGTTAAATTTATTTTAATACCATAGGCTAGTACTTAGAAGTGGTAGAGTGAGCAGGAAAGCACAAGAAGAGCTTATTATTAGGCATAGTAACTCAAAAGCAAGTTTATGAACTGGGAAGAGTAGAGATTAGGTACAGGAATACAATCAAGAGTCTAGATTTTAGATGGTGAGTTTGATCTACCACACTTACTCCCTTCTTTATAGAATAGGTAAAACAAAGCAGGCCAATTCAACACTCCATTTATAGAAATCTTAAATATGGATAGAGTCATTAACTTACAAGGTGCTTTCGTAGATGAATACTTATTCATAGTAGATGTTTTGAAAACCTGAGAAGAATGCTATCTGCTCCTCTAAAACCTTATATTTATCCACTGGCCTAGAGCAGTTTTTGAAAATGTCAATTGTAATCAACCCATAAAATAAGTACTAAGGGGAAAAAAAACGAAGTAGAGTCTAGAAAAATTTACATTGTTTATCATAAAGGTAAGCATTGTGTATGAAACTTTTGTTTCAGTTATATGTACTAGGTCACAGTGTAAATGTATTTTTTACTTTGGGTTGCAGGTTTGTTTTGGGTTTTTTTTGAAAATATATTTTTATTGATTTCAAAGAGGAAGGGAGAAGGAGAAAGAGATAGAAATATCAATGATGAGAGAGAATCATTGATTGGCTGCCTCCTGCATACCCCACGCTGGCATATGCCCTGACTGGGAATTGAATGGTGACCTCCTGTTTCATAGGTTGATGCTCAACCATGCTGGCCGAGCTGGGTTTCAGGTGTTACAAGTTTGAAAAACACTGGCCTAGAGCTTTGTGATTATCTATTTTAATTTATTGAGGACAAAAATTAGTGATTTCATTCACTTTTTATCTTTAAAAGCAAATGACATCAAAAGACATAATAGAATGTATGTATGCTTTATATTTTCTTCCTTTTTCTAGCATTCTGAAAGGATCCAATCTCACATCAGAACTTTCCTGTTTGGCTCAGTGGATATGGCATTGGCCTGCGGACTAAAAGGTCCCAGATTCAGTTCCGGTCAAGGGCATGTACCTTGGTTGCGGGCACATTCCCAGTGGTGGGTGTGCAGGAGGCAGCTGATTGATGTTTCTCTCTCATAGATGTTTCTAACTATCCCTCTCTCTTCCTCTCTGTAAAAAATCAATAACATATATTTTTTTAAAAAAACTTTCCTGAGGGTATAGCTAGCTCTTTCTTCTCCCCATTGTTTCAAAACTTACAGTATATAGCTCCTATTCCCTGCTGAATATTCAGCACAATTTTCTGCTCATTTGAGGAAGTTTTGCCTCTTAGGTTTTGTATGATTTCTAGTTTGGAATACCTTAAAGTCTTATTTTTAGTCAGTACTATTTGATTGCCTCCATAGTAGTTTAACTCAGGGAATGAATAAGAGATTTATTGGACATCTTTCTGTAACAGTATATACCTTTATCTCATTCTTTTAATGAATGTATAGTAGTCCATTGCATAAGGTTATAATTTATTTAGTGCCTCAGTGATGTACATTTTGATTGTTTCCAGTTTTTTCCTGTTACACAAAACCCTATTGTCATATATTTGTATACCATAGGACATTGCTGGTTCAAAGTGAAATTACTTTGATGGTGTGCATTTAAAATTTTAATATTGCCAAGTTGGCCTTCAAAAAGGTTGTTCTATTTGTCACTACCTATATATAAAAATGCCTATTTCCCCATACTCTGGCTGATGCTGTGCATTATTAGAGTTTTAACTATTTGTAATCTGGTGAAAATTTACAAAAGTCCAGTATAGAGTTGCATTTTAAAAATTGAGTGAGATTGACTATGCTTTCATAAATTTAATTAGCCCTTTGTATTTTCTTCCCTTTTTTTGTTTTTGTTTTTAATCCTCACCCAAGGATATTTTTTCCATTGATTTTTAGAGAGAGTGGAACGAGGGAAGAAGGATGGTAGAGAGAGAGAAAGAAAGATCGATTGGTTGCCTCCCACACATGTTCCAACTCATCATGGAGCTCAGCTTGGCCTCCATGGGGCCGGTGGTGATGGAATACATGATGACACAGCAGGAGGAGAGGAAGGAGAGAATAGCCCAGATCCCCAACCCCAAGCTGGTCGGAGGACCCGGCGGGAAGCATGCACCTGCCCCTACTGTAAAGATAGTGAAGGAAGGTAAGTTGACTAAGCCAGTATCTTAAGAGTAGTGAATGGATTTGGAGGTAAGAGGTTGATTTTTTTTTTTAAACATTTAAGACTTGGCAGTGTTGCAGAGGGATGAGAAATAACACAATACATTTGATTAGGTCATATTATAGATCTTGTTTCCAGCTCTGATCCTTTTATTGACTGTAAGACCTTGGGCCTTAATAGGCGCCTGCTTTCTCTTACAGATAAGGAAATCAGATGGAGCCAGCTGGTCTAATGATTGTTACCGTATGTCTATATTGAGATGGTTTTAACAAGGTTGCTTTGTAAAACAGCCTTGCAAAGAAATGAAAAAGCTACACTAATGTGTTTTTACAATGGCTTGTGAGAATAAGAGTTTTCCAGAGTCTTATTTTCCTTCAAAATAAACAAAAATGGCTTAGTCCAGATAGAAAATTCTTCCATCAGGGACCCTAACATGTTCTGCAGAATAAAGTGCTGACAGTTTTCTTGTTAGTAATACTGTTCAGTATTATCTCTGGAGAGTTTCAAGTTCTATTTTTTCTTTCAAGTCATTGCTATATATATATATATATATATATTGATTTTAGATATTTAGATATTATTATTTAGATATTATTGATTTTAGAGAGAGAGGAAGGAGGGGGGAGAGAGAGAGAAACATCCATGAGAGAAACATGGTTCCTCTGCCTCTTACACACGCCCAGGCTGCAGGCTTCATCCCCAGCTTGGGTGTGTGCCCTGACCAGGAATCGAACTGGTGATCTTTTGGTTCGTGAGATGACACTCGACCAACTGAGCCACTCCAGCTGGGCAAGTCACTACTTTTGAGAGAATAGAAAGTTACATAGCTGATTAAATGCTTTTGAGCCCTGACCAGTTTGGCTCAGTGGGTAGAACGTTGGCCTGCAGACTGAAGGGTCCCAGGTTCGATTCTAGTCAAGGGCATGTACCTTGGTTGCAGGCACATCCCCAGTAGGGGGCGTGCAGGAGGCAGCTGATCGGTGTTTCTCTCTCATCAATGTTTCTAACTCTCTATCCCTCTCTCTTCCTCTCTGTAAAAAATCAATAAAATATATTTTTTAAAAAATGCCTTTGAAAAAGAAAATCTGTTAAAGTTTTGTCCCAGCCTAGCTAGTTGCTCAGTGGTTAGAGTGTCAGCCTGCGGACTGAATGGTCGCAGGTTCAATTCCAGTCAAGGGCATGTACCTCAGTTGCAGGCTCTCAATCCCAGCTTGGTTGGGGCGGGTGCGGGAGGCAACCAATCAGTGTTTCTCTGTCTCTCCCCCTCCCTTCCACTGTCTCTAAAAAAATCAATGATGAAAAAAATATCCTTGGGAGAGGATTAACAAAAAAACCCAAAAGTTTTGTCCCAATAAAAATAAGCACAAAAGTAAGAAAAGTACCAAAACAAAAATAATCTGAGTTATTTGTAGGTTAACACTACATTACAGGAAAAACCTGAATTAAAGCACTGAGTATGCCTACACTGATGTTTCTCAGTGGTTAGAATGTTAGTCTGCACACCGTAAGGTTGTGGGTTTGATTCCCAGTCAAGGGCATGTACCTGGGTCCCAGTTGGGGTGTGTTTGAGAGGCAACCAATCAATGTGTCTCTCTCACATTGATGTTTGTCCTCCCTCCCCCCATTTAGAAACAATGGGGGGGGAAATCCTCTGGTGAGGAATCCATAAAAAAAAAAAAGCACTGAGTACAATAGTGTTTGCCTTTAACAAAGCTTAAAGTGGATTTAAATTTTTGAAGAAACTTCTCAGATTTCCACCTAAGAGTAACTTTATCTTCTCTTATGTATTATATATATAAAGGCCTAATACGTAATATGCAAATTGTCCCCTTGGGAGTTCGACCGGGAGTTCAATCACTCACTATGATGTGCGCTGACCACCAGGGGGTGGTGTGAACCAAAGGGAGGCCCTGGCCAGCAGCCGGAAGTCCCTGATCGGCCCTGATTGCTAGCCAGGCCTAGGAACCCTACCTGTACACGAATTTCATGCACTGGGCCTCTAGTTTTTATTATGTTTTTTTCCCCCTTCTGCTAATATGTGTTAAAACCAAAGAAAAGTCCCTCTTGGAAATCTCCCCAATGCCCACTAATGGATTACATATGGAACAAATTGGTTTGCAAAAACATTTCAGAGCTGATTCCTTAGAGGAGCTAGGATCTGCTCCATACAGGGAATAATTTTTTTTTTAATATATTTTATTGATTTTTTTACAGAGAGGAAGGGAAAGGGATAGTTAGAAACATCGAAGAGAGAGAAACATCGACCAGTTGCCTCCTGCACACCTCCTACTGGGGATGTGCCCACAACCAAGGTACATGCCCTTGACCGGAATCAAACCTGGAACCCTTCAGTCCACAGGCCGATGCTCTATCCATTGAGCCAAACCGGTCAGGACGGGAATAATTTTTTACAAGCCTTGAATTAGTTAGGAATCTTATTCCCCTCTTTAACTTCTATTCAGTCCATCTTCTTCTTCCACTGAACTCCCTGATATTGCTTCAGCTTTTCAGCTGTTAATCTTCACCATTTGGTTCTTTATTTTAGGAAAAAGCTCTACAGGTGTAAAATATTTTCCTTAACCAGGTGCTTAAATGGAGAAACCCTTTGCTTATAAATACATTCCTAGCAAAAAATACTCCCACATTCACAGTAGTTCCTGTGGAAAATGCTCGTATTGAGATTTAAACTTCTTTCACACAAAAAAAAATGCCCCACAGACTTCACAGATCACTGTGAGAATGATTATTTCTTCAAACAACAAAATTGGATTAAGGAACAGGAAAGCAGAAAAGAGCAAATGTCTGGTAGAGAGGAAACCTACAGCTTGAATTTTGGGTATTAAGAACCAGAATCAACTAAAGATTTATATTTTGATACTAAAGAGAAGCCATTTTAAAAAAAAGTTCTAGGTAGTTTTGAATGGGTCGGGTAATTATTGTTGACACTTTGTGGTACTTTCATTTTTATCTCTAGAATGAATGATGAATACTTTGTATTCTCACTTACAGGGGCTCTGGGGATCCTGGCAAAAAGAAACAGCACATTTGCCACATTCAAGGCTGTGGCAAAGTATATGGCAAGACCTCACACCTACGGGCACACTTGCGCTGGCACACAGGCGAGAGGCCATTCATGTGTACCTGGTCATACTGTGGGAAACGCTTCACGCGTTCGGATGAGCTGCAGAGGCACAAACGCACACACACAGGTGAGTAGGAGCCTGGAGAAGAAAGAAATAGTAATAGACCAGAATGGAAAGGCACAAAATGTACCTGTGAAATAACTAAAAATACTGAGCAACTTACGATTGAAACTAAATGTATGGATCACAAATGGAATTGGAGTTAATCTGGAAAACCTTTAAGAAGGAAGGAGCTCTGGCCAGTTTGGCTCAGTGGATGGAGCATTGGCCTGTGGACTGAAAGGTCCCCGGTTTGATTCTGGTCAAGGGCACATGCCTTGGTTGTGGGCTCGACCCCCAGTGGGGGGCATGCAGGAGGCAGCTGATCGATGCTTCTCTCTCATCATTGATGTTTCTCTCTCTCTTTCTCTCCCTCTCCTTTCCTCTCTGAAGTCGATAAAAATACATTATAAAAAAAGGAAGGAAGGAAGGAGCTGCCCAGCTGGTGTGGCTCAGTTGGTTGAGCATCTTGTCCCTAGCACCAAGAAGTTGCTGGTTCGATTCCCCATCAGGGTACATGCCTGGGTTGCAGTCTCTTTCTTCCTTTTTTTTTAATTCTCACCTGAGGATTTTTTTTCCCCATTGCTTTCAGAGAGAGCGGGAGGGAGGGAGAAAAACAAAAACAAAACACCAATGTTGAGAGAGACACATTGACTGATTGCCTCTTGTACTCGCCCTGACTGGGAGCAGGGAGGAATCTGAAACACAGGTACATGCCCTTGACCAGGAAACAAACCTGTGACCCTTCAGTGCAGGGGCTGACGCTTTAACCACAGAGAAACACTGGCCAGGGCTGGGTTGCATTCCTGAATCCCTGGTGGGTGGGGTGTGTAGTCATCTCTATGATGACTGCATCATTGCTCTCATTGATGTTTCTATCTTCCTCTCTGAAATCAATAAAAAACCACACATTTTAAAAATAATAAAATAAAAATTTTTTAAAGAGAAGGAAGGAGCTAGTTGAGTGGAATTTTGGAGGATCCAATTACTCTTTTTAGTCTCAGTCCTGCCAGATATTTTTGCTCTAATCCTTCCTTTCTGAATATCAACCTCCTTCCCTCTCTCCATCCCTTTCTTCTTTTTTTGTTTTTCATTTATTCCTCTCTTCCTTGGTACCAGAAAGCCAAGTTTCCTTTGAAAACAATCCCTCTGTCTCTATTCATAATTACCTGGTTTGGGCAGGATTAATCCTACTCCCACCTCCAGGAATGGGCCATGATTGGCTTAAGCTAGTCACTGTATCGTTTCCCCACAGGATGTTTGGTTCAGGGGGTGGGCAATTGAGTTTGTCCAGGAAAAATGAAATTTGGGACTTACGCTGGGAATTCAGGGCACAGACACTTTCTCCTTCTTGGGTTTGTGGTGTGAAGAAAATGTATGGCCAGGAACTGCTATTCCCCAACCCTTACCTGTTTTTCTTCCTCCAAAAAGCAAAAGATACTCATTAGATTTTTCTTTCTTTTTTCACCTTCTAAAATTGGCCTAATAGTATGGCTTATAAAGTTGGAAAGCAGTAATTGGACAAGGTACCCCCTACATCCTGAGATGTTCATTTCTAATATTCTTTCTCTTTTTTTTACTTAGGTGAGAAGAAATTTGCCTGCCCTGAGTGTCCCAAGCGCTTCATGAGGAGTGACCACCTGTCAAAGCATATCAAGACCCATCAGAATAAGAAGGGAGGCACAGGCGTAGCCCTGAGTGTGGGCACTTTGCCCCTGGACAGTGGGGCTGGTTCAGAAGGCAGTGGTGCTGCCACTTCTTCGGCCCTTATTACCACCAATATGGTAGCTATGGAGGCCATCTGTCCAGAGGGTATTGCCCGTCTTGCCAACAGTGGCATCAATGTCATGCAGGTGGCAGATCTTCAGTCCATTAATATCAGTGGCAAAGGCTTCTGAGAGCAGGGACCCAG